GAGACAGATGTGTTCTCTGAAGGCAGGTTACAATGTTTGTCATTCTTTAACTTGGAAAGAGATGGGCAGGTTACAAAGATTCTGATTCTTTAGCTTGGAATAGAGATGATCATGAAGAGAATCCTTAGGCCTTGAGGAATGGTCTGGATGAATGGTTTGGAGGAGGTGGAAAAAGGAACTGGGTCACAAGGCAGAGCAATTAAACTGTAGGGTTTTGTGCTTTAAATAAAAAAAGGAAATAGTCTTTCATATAACACAGAGTTCCCCAGGTGCACTTTCAACCTTGGGTTATTCCTAACCTGCCGAGGCACGATCAGTTCATATATGCCCTGCTCTCACACCATTTTCTTAAGCAGTGGCATAAAGACCAAGACTTTTAGTCTGACCCAGCCTAATGACTTTTATGACAAAAGTCTAGCTCACCTGTTGTGTGTCCAGAACAATTCCCCTCACCACAAGAGCTTGATTTGCATTGAGTAACTGAGAGGAAAATTTGGCCAGGACAACCCAGAAACAGAGAGGAGATGGGGAATTAGGCACTGAGCTATAAAAATGTTAACAGACAGTCGTGATGCATAAGATATGTAGATCTCTTTTTCCCAGTGTATGAGAACTGATACTGTAAGAGGAACTGTCTGCTATGTCAGGTCAATGGGACTGGGGGGAAGGAGGGGCCCTGCATTAGGCTGCAGCTGTAGAAATGCCATCCTGGAAAATACTGATTCCCCACAGCAGCTAGGGTTGGAAACACTGGTACTGACCTGCATAAATTAGGTGAAATATGGTCTGAGAAAGACCTCCAGGAAAGCCTGAAGCAGATTAGATCTACAGATCTACCCTTAGTGGCTTCTTGGGTGGGTTATATGTTCCCTCACCTTTTTCTCTCTCCAGAAGTGCCCTGTGGCAAAAGGACTGCAAAGAGGGTAAGGGACTTGCTGTCAGTAGCTGTATGTTCTCTGTGCAGCATGAGCTAAACTTGGCATTAATGAGCAGGTTCATTACTTGAAACAAGAGTTCACTCTAGTATGTGCTGCTCCTGGATGAAGCAAGCAGGTGTGCAGGGAGCTGAACTTGAGCTGAAGTGAATACCACGTTCAATTACAGGATCTAATATGCTTGCAGGGACTATGTGACTGACCAGGAAAAGGGCGTGAGGAAGACATTTGGTGTGAATTTTAGCCTGCCTGTAGTGCAGCCCTATCCATGTGGCACTTTGCTTGCTGAACATTCAGGTCATTACTTCCCTTCATTTCCCCTCTCATTTGCTCTCCTCTGCCCTGTCTTTGTGGCTTTTTTTTTTTTAAGTTTTATTTTCTTCTGCCGGAGGGGATTTTAGTTGAGTTGATTTGCTTCTCTACAAATAAACTAGTAAAAGCAAGAAAGAGACTTTTAGTAATGCTGTTTCATAAACATAAAGAAAGAGAATTGTAATGTGTGTCAATAGAACCTTTCTCTTGGATTGTCCTCTGCATGTTCTTGGCTAAGGGTTTGTTGCTACACAAATCATCTGGGGTACTAGAGCGAGTAGGATACAGTGGTATGAGTAAGCAGTAGGAGGTGAAGAATTTTACTGGGGGAAGGAAAGAAGGCATTTCCCGACTCTTCAGTTAAATGTGCAAGGGAAGGGGCAACCTCGAACAATGATAAAGGAGGTAACTTTTAAGCAGTTGAGAGAAAACCAGGACTGGAAACAAGTCAACTGCCAGACTGCATGCTAGTTATGCCAGTGAGAATGAATATTTTCCTTTGCATTTTGATGACTGTGCATCATTCATGTGACAGGGAATAAAGCCTGGGTCCTTGGCTGAATTGCAGCCATTTCTGTGCCATGTGTTCAGCAGATACCAGCTTTCCTGGAGAAAGCAGGGTGAAGGCAGAGATCTGTGATACATGTGTGAGTCAGTGCACCTCTGGTAACATAATAAAGACTTAACCTGTGTGTATCTGAGCTGTTCTTTATGTGCTGGACAGGCTCACTAGTGTTTAAAAAAGGTTTTTGATGTAATGCTGGCTGGTCATAGAATTGAATAATAGTGCCGTTAGGACTTGAGAAGAAGTATTCTCAGAAATATAATTTGTAGTGAAGCATGACTAGCTAATTTCCTAAGCAGTCATTGCAAGACAAGTTTCTTCCAGGACTAGTGGAACTAATGAAGACTTGTTGCATACCCAAGTGTGTTAATTCTCTTTTCTATCTCTCCATATTCTCTGTGAAATCTTGAAGGCAACAGTAATACCTAGTCTGGAGTTTGCCTAAGTTGGCTGGTGACTGGCAATTGTAATGTGTGGTGAATAGTTTTCCTTGTGAGAGAGAATTATTTTAGGTCTTTTCCTCTCTATCTACCAATTCATTTACTTTGTTTTTCATACTTTTACTTCTTATCTCTTGTAGCACCCTCTTTAATTGCAAGTCTGTGCATCTCTCAGTCTTGAAATCCAGAATTCCTCACTTTTCAAGAGAAGCTCTGTAGATGCTCACACAAGCCTTCTTATTAACAGAGGATGCAATTAGTTTGCAAAACAAATTACCAACTATTTTGTACTTTAATCCGTTGCTCAAATTATGTTCTAGTGTACCTGTGATGCATGTAACTTAGTGACCTTTTTTACTTTATTCACTAAGATCCATTTTGCTCTAATCTAGTTGCATAGCTCACTAGGTCCCCTTCCGTGCCAGTATTCTCCTCTTCATCTATACCTGTACAGGATTTGTGGTAGTCTGGCCTTATTTATTCACTGACTTGGTTCATTTTTCAGTGAGCCTCTATTGCTTGTGGGAATTCAAGAACTGCTTGTACCCACTGTACCTTTATTAAAATGGAATGAGAAAATGCTTCAGAAATAATTTGGCTGTCCAATCACTGTGCCTGCTTTTTATCATGAAATCCCGTGGCTGTTGCAAAGGCTGAACTTTGCATCGCTGAGGCTTCAAGGTCTGTCTGTCATAGTGATGACATGCAGTCTGTCTTCTGAAGAGCAGGTGTAACAGAAACTGTCTTTTATGTTTACAGCATTTACTAAAGTCTGTGAGATAAGAGATAGCAAGTGGATATGGCCATACATAAAATAAGTAGCTTCCCTTAGGAAAATTGTAAAAAATGTACAAGGACATTTTTTAGCTGAAGAAACCTAAGTCCATACGTATCATGGTGGGATGAGGGTCTTAGAAGTCAAACTCAACCCATACAAGAAGAGGATTTTTTTTATTCCGGGCTTAGTGTTTCTGTTCTATAGAGAACTAAGGAGTTCTTCTTTCTCTACACTCAAAATTTGTGTGGCCTTCATCCAAATTATTAGTTTAGTTTGATTCTAGATATGAAACTGCTAAGTTACTCATTCTGGTTTCTTGATATACTCCTGATGCTGTACAAGACTTTATACCATTTTATAGCTGAAGTGTGTTTGGGAGATGTATGTGAAGTGTAGTAGATTTTCTCGGAAAACACACTTTTTCTGTGTTATTCTTTGGCTTAGTTTTGGGTACTTTTTCGTTGTTTCTGGAGAGAGCGAGTGGCTTGTAGTAGTAATTGGTTGATGACTACCCAGTTGTCTAGCTAGAGATGTTCTAGGATAGTTGCATCAGGAATGCAGTTAACTTTAAATTTTCCTGCTGATGATAATTCTAAAGGGGTAAAAAAGGCAAAAGCCCCACAACTCACAGTTACAAACTAAAATGAACACTCCTCTTGTGAACACTTTATCCCCTTCTGCCTCTGTCCTCTTCCTACACCTGTCTCCCCCTTGCTCTGCCCTCCCTGCCCATCTTGACCTGGTTCAATGTCCACTTCTTTTCTGCTGAGCTGTCTCTTGCCCTTCAAGATACCTCTCAGCTGTTGAGCAGGTCCCACTGCTTGAACCAAGTCTTGATTGTAAAATTCATATCTTGTAAGAAAGAAGCTTATTGTTTGTTAAATTGATTAATCCAGTAGATGATTAGTAGTTATGATTGAGAGGCTAGAAAGACAAGCAACTCTCTGAAGGGATCTGCAGGTACAGCAGTGTGTGTCTCTGTCTGCTAAGCCTTGCTGCCTGTGTCTGTCTGAGCTTTGGGCTCAAAGCTCCAGGCACAGCTCATCAGTAGCAGCAGTTTATAATGCACTCCACAGCTCAGCACTGGCCTGCCTTTTGGCACAGCCTGTTTGCAATTGCTTAATGCTGATTTTTGATGCTGACCAACAGAAGCAGATAGCTAGACACCAATATTACTTCAGTTAAGTACTTTGGGATTTCAGCCTAGAGGAGGTTTCTCATAAATTCATATTATCTGTACTGTAGTAGAAAACATCCTGACTGATTTGCTGGGCTTCTTTGCTCTGTGTGAATGCTGCTGATTTGGTGGCCATTAGATAGGCAGGTTTGAGAAACAGAGTGGGCAAAATCTTGAAGCTGCTTGCTCAGCAGGTTGCCAGCAGTATATACTAGGTGGCAACATAAGCAGCAGGTTGTATTCATGTGAAACCTTGACTGCAATTTCAGCTGGTCCAAAGTGATGGATTGAGGGAACTGTGCCAGTTTACATGAGGTAGAGATAGGACTGTATGGAGAAGTAATTCAAAACTAGAACCTTATTGGTGAGACAAATGGACCATCCATAGGAGTTATGGAAACTGATGACTGGGGAAAAAACTTTCTGCCAGACAAAGTAGTCAAAAAAATTCTAAATTTTATAGTACAAATTAAAGCCATCTTTATTAGCTGATTTTAATCTTGTTTTTTAGTATTGTAGCAGTGGTACTAACTGCTCAGATCAGATATAATCTTTGAAATAATCCCATGTTTTCTAGGGATATTAAGAGTTACTAATGAAGTACAAGCTTTGGGAAATACAGGAAGGGCCTGGCAGTGCAGATCTCTCTTGCTCATTTGGTCCGTGTGAGGAGTCATCTCAATCTGAATGGAGACCTCAGTGTTCTCAATGTAAATGTCTCCTCTCTGATCAACCCAGTTAAAGCAGTTTGTGAATTTGCAAGCAAAAACCTCAGGGATGCTTTTTGACTGCTTGGTATTGAAATGCAGCATCTGGAAGTGTGTAGAAATCTGATTGAAGGTGCTGACTGCAAAATTTGACGTGGTTGGAGATTTGCTTTGCTTTTGACAAATAAATGGGCAGAGATGGAAGGAATGGGTCCAGAGCTGCTGTCCAAAGATCTTTTTCCCTGAAAATACCTTGTAAATCTTCATGACCTTTGTGACTACTGAGATGACTGAAAAGATATTTGGACCCTGTTTATAAGGTCCCTGCTATGTCCAATCTGAATTTGTTAATGCTCAAACTATAGGGATGAACTTCTGTTTGTCCTTTTCACCAATGTGGCATTTTATGGTGGGAGTAGCAGGTGCACTGTATGGACTTACCTCTTAGTATTGTGCAGCTAAGTCTGTGAAATGAACACAATGAAGCTTGCAAGGTTGCCAGTATTTGACACATGAAAGTTTTCTAAGGATTGTTAGAGGTTGGATGAGTGTCTCCTGTGCCTGCTTTTTGTCTCCAAATAGCAAAAGCAAGCATATGACTATGATGCACAGAGAACAGGGCACATGAGTAAGATGATGCTATTTTTACTCGATCACTCTTTAGAATAGAACAATTGTTATTTCATGTAACTCAAGTACTTGCCAAATATGCTTTAATGTAGCCTTAATTGATCTGTTTAAAATTTTAAGCAGCCAGCAGTATTCCCACTGAAACAAGTACTTATGAAATGTTTGACACAGTAGGCAGTAGAGTGCACAGAGGTAGCAATTGATCATAGATTTATCTGCTAAGCCTTGAGCCTACAGATGGAGAGACAAAGACTTTCCATCTGCCCATGCAAAACTTTGGATGTATCAAGGCTGTGTTTTAAATGGTGCCTTCAGGCTTTTTTCCAGACAGGATTCACAGAGTACCCTCCAGGAAAAGACAAGGCTTGCCCCCAGATGCCAGTAACTTACTATGGCTCTTGGTGACTTCTGTGTACCATCAAGCGTGCTCAGACAAGCTGTCTCTTGGCTGCTTGCCACCTGGGAGGCAGGCACGTATGGGAGGGAAGGTAGGGAGGGGAGCAGAGCATTCACGTTGCCCTGCATGCTCTCCTTTCAAACTGCCTGCACGTGTTGTAAGGGATCTGTGTGGGCACGGAGCTCGGCTCACATGTATCGGGCAGCTCCTGCAGGGCAACAAATTCTCTTGCTCTTTATGCATGGAAAGGACTTGGGTTTGTGTTCCACCATGTGGATAAAAATACACTGTGTATTGCATTAATTTTGTTCCTTCCCTATTTTTTTAGGACAGACGTGGGGTCATTTTTACAATTTGGGTGCTCCACTCACTAGTTTTCTTGCAGAGCTGTTGACTCTCATAACTTGGCAGATCTCAGCAGTCTTTTCTTTAATTTCTGGAAAAGTGGATATTTTCCAGTAGATTCAGCTCTACCATTGAGTTAGGAGTACAAGAACACTTAAGTACCTTTGTTTTAAATAATAGTTTTTTTCATAAATGTAATCTGTGGATCTGTGTTGTTGTGTCTGCCAGCACCATTCATCATGTGCTTGTTGCTGTGCAGTCAGAGCTCTACAGAACATCCACCCTCCCTCTCCAAATGGAAACAAGTTCCCACCACAGAAAGCTTTCAACCCAAGTTAAATGACAATTGTTGGGGAGCATGAAGAAAGACATGGCATTAATCAACTGTGAGGTGGGGTTTTCAGCAGGGAAAGGAGAATATAAATGATCTGAAACTGGATGAAGAATTGTATTGCTGGGACATATGGATGATATATGAATATTGAGATTGTATGGAAGAATATTGGAAGAGGTTCTGTTTCAAAACCTAATTATACTGCTATCTAGTGGTATTAGGCTGATACTTTCAGCTGATTTGGAGGCTGTTTGTTGTCTTGATGGACTTTTAAAGTCTGGGACTGATGAGATGGATGTAGTTTGGTAGAATGAAGAGGTTCTGAGGCAGTAGAAATATTGTCAAAGCAGTGATGTGAGGAAATGGTCTGAATACAGAGGGTGGGATGAGCGGGTGTTAGCCAATACCAGGGTAATGACAAGTAAGGATCTGGACAATATTGTAGCAAGAAACTACTTTGTCTGTAGGTAGAATATTTTCCAGACAAATGTCATTAAGTTCTGAAAGAGATTTAAGAAGTGTCAGCTAAGAGGGTCAGAGTACTTTTGCTGTGGTAAAGTTAGTGATTTGTGATTATTTTCTGAGAGCTATTTAAACTCAGTTCTACAGAGTGTTAACCCTGGGTACTGTTAGCCCCCCAAGCCCCATTAGGTTTGATAGTTGATCCTGAGTTTACAGCTGACCTTATCTAGTTAAAATTATATAAGGTGCTGATTTAAGAGGAGAACATCGACCTCTTTCCCTACTTTTAACAAATTTTTAAAGGGAGCAATTTTGGTTTGTGCTGACATTTAAAAGGAGGTAAGAGCTCCACCTCTGTCTGCCACAGAGATGGATCTGTGTATTTCTGTGTGATAACAGGAAATAACAGACCCATGCAAGGAAATATTCTTTGCTTCCTATCCCCTGTGTAGCTGAGGGTTGGAGACAGGATTAGAAGACAACAATAGAGCTGGCCACCTGAAGATGTGTCATGACAAAGAGAGATTAGCTTTGCCAAGTGACTGAGATACTTATTCTCTTTAGGAAATAGATACCCCTAGGAAATTAAAAGAAGTTTTCTCTCCCCAGTATTCACAACTCTGCAAAGGTCTCCTGAGGCAGCCTGTGTTTCTTTTAACCAGTCACCTGTTTTCAATTAAAAGGTAATGGCCATGTATTTAATTGCTAGCAGCCTCTTCCGTTTTTTCTCTTTTGTATCCTGAAGGAGTCCAATAAAAAGCATTGCTGAAACAGCACTAACATTCATTACTCTTGAAAGAATGATGGACAGCATCTTGCCAAGTGATTCATTTTAATTTTTAAGCCATTCAGGTGATGTTATAGAATTATAGAATCATTTAAAATGAAAATGACCTTTGAGATCAAGTCCAACCCTTAACCCAGCACTGGCAAGTCCATTACTAAACCAAGTTCCCAAGTGCCACCTCTACATGTCTTTTAAATACTTAGAGGGATGGTGACTCCACCACTTCCCTGGGCAGCCTGTTCCAATGCTTGACAACCTTTCCATGAAGAAAGTTTTCCTAAAATCCAACCTAAACCTACCAACCTGAGGCCATTTCCTCTTGTCCTATTGCTTATTACTTGGGAGAAGAGACCGATCCCCACCTGGCTACAGCCTCCTTTCAGGTAGTTGTAGAGAGTGATAAGGTCCCCCTGAGCCTCCTTTTCTCCAGGCTACAGAACCCCAGCTCCTCAGCTGCTCCTTTGCTGCTTTGTTGCCCTTCTCTGGACACATTCCAAGCCCTCAATGTCTTTCTTGTAGTGAGGGGCCCAAAACTGGACACAGGATTCAAGGTGTGGCTTCACCAGTGCTGAGCACAGGGGGACAATCACTGCCCAGGTCCCACTGGCCACACTGTTTCTGATACAGGCCAGAATGCCATTGGACTTCTTGGCCTCCTGGGCACAATGATGGCTCATGTTCAGCTGCTGTCAACCAACACCCGCGGGTCCTTTTCTGCTGGGCAGCTTTCCAGCCACTGTTTCCCCAGACTTTAGTGCTGCCTTCGGTTGTTGTCACCCAAGTGCAGGACCCAGCACTTCACCTTATTGAACCTCATACAGCTGGGCTCAGCCCATTGATTCGGCCTGTCCAGATCGCTCTGTAGAGCCTTGCTAACCTCCAGCAGATCAACACTCCTGCCTAACTTGGTGTCATCTGCAAACTTTTTGAGGATGCCCTTGATCCCCTCATCCAGATCACTGATAGATATTAAACAGACGTGGCCCCAATACTGAGCCTTGGGGAACCCCACTAGTGATCGGCCACCAAGTGGATGTACTCCATTCACCACCGCTGCCTGGGCCTGGCCATCCAGCCAGCTTTATACCCAGTGAACAGAACACCCATCTGAGCCATAAGAAGCCAGTTTCTCCAGGAGAATGCTGTGGGAGACAGTATCAAAGGTTTTACTGAAGTTCCAAGTAGACAAAATCCACAGCCTTTCCCTCATCCATTAAGCAGATCACCTGGTCATATGTAGAAGGAGATAAGGTTAGTCATGTTACCATATTATCAGAAACCTCTATCATTTATAGCTTCCTGTAATGCGTGTTAAATGAGTGCTGTAACCCAGAAGGATTTCCTTGTTCATTCCCTACCACCCTCCTCCCTAATCCCTATTGTTTGGGGGCACTGGGAAGGGAGGAGTTGCAATTCACAGGAAGCTTGCTGCTGGCAGTGTTCTTCTAGGCAGGGTTAAGTCCTGCTGTGCTTTGTCATTTCTCTCATTGTCTGTTTCTGGGTGTTGCTGGGGTCTGTTAGCATTTCAAAGGTGTGTGCAGGAATCTTCAGCTAGGCAAGATCCTTGGAGAAGACAGTTGGAGGGATTTTTATGGACCACATTCCATACCAAGTGTCTTCTACTGGTAATTTCCAGCCCTTGCTGGAGCAGGGTGTACAGGGAGTACTTTTACAGGTTGGTTTGAATATCTCTCACTTTTTGTGAAGGAGTGAATTAGTTTGGCTACTAAAAGAACAGTTTCCATCCTCACTGGACTGTGAAAAAAATCTGTCTTGTTAGATCACATCCATCTTTTCTGTGGTCAAGAGGATAATCAAAGTAATTGTTAGTAATTGTTTCTTTCTTTTACGTAGGTAAATATGTTCTAGAGGAGTTAGATAATAGTAGGTGGATATGATCTAGGAAAGAGAATTTTTTTGGTGTCTTAAGACACTGATATAAATATAAAGCACAGAATCATTTCTGATTTTTAAGTTCCTATAATCTGTCCTGACTTGCAGATGTAGGTATTGTGGTGCTTGCAGAGATCACTTATCTTTTACAAATATTTGGATGTTTTTAAAAATCCCAAGGGAAAGAGGCCAACTTTTTGGCCTTTACTTTAATTCTGTACCAAGGAATTGCTGTAACTTAGGCTCAAAGTTTTCAATTAAGACTCTGGAGTATAAGGTGAATGAATTTTCAAAAGGTGTTGTGGTTAAAGAACCCTTTGCCTTCTCTGGGAGCTTGAGCGAGTTTCCCCTGAGAGGCTTTGCAGGGCTGATCTGTAGCTGGTAGAAACTGGCAGTTCTGATTCCTTCCCTGGCTCCCCACCCTTTCCTTCTAAGCCAAGCAAGGGTAAAAGGGCAGCTTTTATTTTAACTTTACATTGTGGTTTAGGTTTCTATTCAGGTCTGTCAAACATTACATCACAGTATCTGAGCAAAGTTCTTTTGCACATGGGAACTTGGGACCATTAATTACAAGTAGCACTAAAAGTAGCACAGTTACACAAGAATATAAATGCAAAAGTGGGCTAGTCCCATGAAGGGGAAGTTGCCTCAGGATCCACACATTTTAAAATTGCCATGCATGCCAAGAAGGTTGTTAAGGTTACTGTCTGTGTGAGTGCTGAAACTGTAAAAATTTGGGCAGAAAACAAACTACTGCTGTAGTTCTAAATGGGCATTTCTGTGGTATAGTTTGTATTAGTTTTATTTTTTTCTCTGGATGCTTTTCTTATTCCGCTGTCATTAGTCCACATCTCATTATATACTCACAGAGAGTACATTCTTCTTGCTTGTTAGGATGGTGTAGGTGGTAACTTGCAGTGGTACAAAGGGCTGAAGGAGAGATAATCAGCTGGATAAGTCATTACCCTGTGCAGAGAATGACTTGCTGACTTGCTGCATACAGCTTACTTATCCCACATTCTTTAGGACATAAAATGTTGTAGGGATTGAAAATGTAATAGAAAAACTTCAACTTGCTTGCCTAGAAAGGAAAAAAAGGTATGGTGGAATGATGAATACCTGATAAAAACTGTTAAGTTGAGGGTCTTGGATGGTGCAGTGAGTCTGGTGGAGCACAATTCAACACAGTAGCCTGAACTAAATAGTCTTATACAGTGCTGCATTTCTCTCATTTTCTTTCTCAATTATCTCACCCTGAATCCACATCAAGGTACAGATGGTTCATTTGCTATGGTCTGACATAGCTCTGGTTACCACATGGCACTTCTTAGCAGTTTGTGCTAAATGTTTGAAACATTGAGTACTTCTTTCCTAAGCAGTGTTTCTCTTTCTTATGTTTTATTTCCCAGCTATCCATTGCAATCTGAATCCAAATGGTATTGATCATCCTGTCCCCACAGAAGGTATTAATCTGCAACTTGAAGGTGAAGGAGTTGAATCGCCCTCAGTTAAGAACACTAGTGCTCCAAAAGGGCCTGAGTCAAAAGAGACACCTAAGAGACAAGTGGAGCCAGAAATATCTAAGGTAGGTAGGACTGGATTCTTTTTTATTTTGGTGAGTCTTAAAGAATCCAGGCTTCTCGAAGTCCTGGCTGCTGCTTAAAAAGCATTTATAATTCTGTTAAAGACATAAAAAGGTGCAAAAGTAACAGTCTGAGGAAGTGGGTGTTACAGAAGCAAAGTATTGCCATGGAGTTCTAGCACACACACATCTTGGACATTGCACCATTTTATTTTTCTCTAAATGAAGATAATTAAAATACTGCAATCGCTCTTTTTCAGCCACTAGGGAGACTTTTTTTTCCAAATGACTTGGGTAACAATCAACATGGGAACAGATATGTTTTTCTTGAGTGGTTTTTTTTTTTGTTTGCTTATTTACTTTTTCCTAGGGCAGGTAAAGGAAGAAAAAGGTTCTGTGGATATATGAGAATTTTTATAGGGGTGACTGATTTTAATAAACTGTTAACTTATTTTAGGTAAAATACTAGTCCTGTTCTTCTGTGTCTGATATGATGGTGAACAAACATAGTTCAGAGGTGAATTCCTAAAAACAAATGTAGCATCTGTTCTTATGAATAAGCTGCTGCTTTTTGTTTGAGTGCAGCAGACATGACTACCAAGTGCAGGTGAATGTGTGTGCTCCAGATACTTTGGGTATAGGACAAAAATTTGTCATATTAGATACGTTTTTTAACTAGAATGAAAAGTAGGAGAATGTTATAAAAATTATTGTGAGAGATTCTTTAAAAGCTTTATCAGCCTTTTTGATCTTGAAAAGCTTAAAACCTTTTGGTTTCGGGGTGATTTCTGCACAGTGGAAAATCGAATTTTTACTGAATCTGACACTTTGAGAGTTAATAGAGCAAATAAAATGAATGTCTTTTTTTAAGTTCAAAAAAGGCAGTAGAAACTATTTCAATGACTGAACAAGTAGAAGTATTTCCTAATGCCAACAGTACAATAAATCTAACAAGTAATACACATATGGTTGTGATGTATTTCACTTTTGAAATAAAATGTTTTGAGCAGTAGCCTTGACAATAAAGGCTTGGTATGAATTCTCCATTCTGATTTTTATCTAAAATATCTAGTTTTAAATTAATACAATTTACACTCATTCATTCTGACTTAATTCATCCAACTAGATCCACTACAGTTTGGCAATGATTAAAATCACTGCTACTTTTGCAGTGTATTTGGTGGCCATTATGAAGCATGTTGCTGACTTCTCTTGAACCCTTGGAGAACAGGTCTGTGCTTATGTGCTTTGAGTTATCCAACAAGACCACCAAATTTTGGATGGGCTTTGAGACAAAGCTCAGCTAAAAATTTGTTTACCCAGCTTTTCACAGAGAAAGACAAGCTAACCCTGCTCATGTTTTAACATCAGCAGATGAAAATAGGCCCTGTATTGAAAGCTGAGGAGGTGTGTTAAACTTGAAGCAGATCTTACAAGCTTGGGAGTGAAGAAGCTAAATGATGCAATTGGAAATGGGCTCATGTGTAGTTGATGTGGAACACAGTCATATCAACTTGTCTTTGCTTGCAAAAGACTTATCCTAATGAAAAATCAGGATGAAATATATCAGTGATTTAATGTTATGGAGCATGTTTTCCACTGTCTGAGCTGTAATCATTGGACTGATGAATAGAAAACAGGTTGTCCTTGGTTTGAGACAGCTGGGGAAGAGGGGAAGCATAGTGCTCTCAAGGTAGTGAAATCCATTATTGGTTTCCCACATTTAATTGCAGTAGCTTTATTGAGAAAATTGGGCATGCTTGACATTTAAAAACAAACAAACCAACTGAATTTTTGCTTGATGGAATAAGCTTGGCATACTAGTATCAAGCTGGTGGAATGGACTATTTTTCTGAATGTATTGCTGCCTTGTTAGTAACTTTGTCTTTTATGTGTTGTATTAATTTAGTGATGTTTTTCATCTGAATTCATATGTTATAGCCTGAGGTGGCCTGTCTTTTCTGGCTAGCTCTGCCTTAAATTTAAAAATTGTATTGCTTTATCCTCTAAAATGTAAATAAAGAGTTGGATTTTAACTTGTGTGGCTTTAAGAGTTGAATTAAGCTGTCATTATGAAACTTTATCCATGCAATCATATCTGTGCAGTGGAAAGATGAGCAGGAATAGAGGAAAGTATTGTAAATAAAACATCGTGGGCAGAGCCATTTGTTTTATAATTCCTCATTGCTCAGATGATTTTTAAAAAGATTTCTTTGCAATCCTAGGTATCCAAATAATATTAACACATATCTCATATCCGCAGTAGTGAGACTTACATTGCACAAAGCAATGCAATATATTGAATATAATTTAAGATGCCTTCTAGACCCTCTTCGCTGCTTTCAGCTTTCTGATTTGTCTTCATGGAGAACACTTCCAGCACTTTCAACAATGAATGGTTTTGCTGTCCAAAGAAACAAACAAAATCTCCTTTATAATGAAATGTGTCCTACTTTTTCTGTCCTCAGGTATAGAATTACAGAACAGTAGTAACTCATGGGTTACAGATAGATTTAAATTTCCTTTTTATGCATCTACTGTAATGTAAATATGGGAGTAAAAGTATTTGTTTCTATATTTGGGATGCAGACAACAGAAGGTGTAGTGTGAGTGAAGGATCACTCATTTATAAGTTCCTGATGAGTATGGAATCTAAGTTTTATAGGCTGACTGAGGTAGAATTTTAATGGAAAATGGAACAGTGATCTTAGCCTCCCTCAGCTGGTTCTCTAAGGAACCACCTTGTTAAAAATATAAGCAAGTCCAGAAAAGGCCAAGGTTATTATTATCTAAACTGATGTGCATAATCCAGTCAGTCTGATAATGTACAGGATATAATACAAATTAGGAAAACAGATGAAGTGTAAAAATACTTCTGTTTTTATTTCTATATATCAATATACACATTTTCTTGGTCAGTAATTGATTTTTCAGCATTTATGGTATATAAAAACAGGCAGTTGAGTGGTTACTTTTAGAGTGGAAAAAATCATTGTACAAGGCAAGGATGGTTTCTAATATAGAAATATATTCTAATATATTTTAAAATATAAATTATTTCTTTAACACCACCTACATCTAACCTCTGTTATGTGTGTTTTGTGGAATTCTTATCTTTTTTTCATTAAAATTCTACTTCTAGCTCTATGTGTGCTCTGTTTGGTTTTAATATCATAGTTACAGAGTAGACTTCTGTTAAAAACAAAAAAACAAAAAGTTTTGTTATACTTTTGGAGTCCTGTACTTCTCTGAGTATGGCTTTAACAGAAGGTGACTTTTCTAACAAGGTTCAGAAAATGATCTCTTATGGAAGTATTAACTTTTATCAAGGCCTCCCACATGTTGCACTCACAAAGCCCTCACAAAGTTCATTGTGAGCGTGAGACCCAAACCTGGTCTGTCACTTGTTAGAAGATTATTTATTCAGGGAGTTTTGAGTTCTAAGTAGGGTGTACATATCTGGTGACACACTTTGTCTCATTATGTGGTAGCAGTAGTAGCAAGTAATAAAGGCTTTCTAATGGCAACCACAGCAGTTAGACTTTTTATGTTTTATTGCAGGTTTTTTTATCCAGCTCAGGACAAATTAACAGTCCTTTAAAATGTTCATGAAAACTATGAAAAGTAAAAAAAAAAAAATGGTAAAAGAAGTGAGAAGCTTTTATCTTGTCTTCTATTTCTAAGTGCTATATAGACACAAGTAGACTATATTTTTTGTTGCAGGGTAGCTCATTAATTCTTCTGGTTGCTTTTGCTTTCTTAAAAAAAATACTTTTTTTCAAACTGACACTGAACAACACTAAAGGGCTGATGAACTCAGTAACAAGAGGAGGAGAATTTATCTCATCTTACTGGTCCCAGTTCAGCACTGACTGGGGTGGAAACAGCTCCTATGGCTTCCCCAGGAGTGGAGCTGTGCTCTGATTGGAAAGTATTTGGGATATGTGTGTTAAGTGTGTGATGAAACGTCCAAGCACAAAAGAGTGAGGCTTTTAAATAATAAGGGTGTTACAGAATTCTTAGAAATATAAAAGTTTTGTCAGTTATTTAAAGAAAAAATGTCCTGGTGCTGTTCTCTGACAAGAGACTAGAAAAAGTAATTTTCTAGAAGAATTCTGTAGGGTTTTTAATCAATGGCTTCTGTTTCACAATGTTTATCCTTATTGGTCAAGCTTATAAAATGGGTTGGATGAGAAGGACGGTATTATGCCAGACTGGATGAGGCTTTGAGGAACCTGGTCCAGCAGGAGTGTCCCTCCTCATGGCAGGGGGCTTGGAACTAGATGGTTTTTAGGATCCCTTCCATTCCAAATCATTCTACACCCCCTTCTTTTTCCTTTTTTCCTTTTTTTTGGTGGTTTGTTAAGAAACACCAATGCCCACGGAACTGGGGCAAAGATGTTTTACCATTTTGTGTTGTCTTCCTACTATCCTCATCCTCTGGTGGCCACAGGATGTGGGAACAAGAACGCAGATTGGACTGACTGAAGTTAACAAACATTTTACCTATTGAAGTGAAAGTTCAGCAAAACCCCAGCTGGGCTGTTCCACTCCTCCAGATTTTGCTGTAAAATGGTGTGACGGGGGGGAGGGTGTTTGAATTGCAGACCTCTGCGTGTTTCCCAGTGGAGGTGCTCACCCTAGATGGTGAAATGTTAGTTTACTGACAGAGTTTCCTTTTCTGAGTTGATTTTTTTTGGAGCAGTAGTTAACAGATTACCAATGTCCACATCAGCTCACCACAACGAAAGTCAATAGATATGGTGTGTGATTTATTTTTTTTCCCAATTTTTTTTCCTCTCCCCACTCTTTGACTGCAACAGTGACAAAACACCACTTATTGCATTGGGTCTTCTTTAATATGAGCAAAAATGGGTACAGAATCTGAGCATACAGTATGTCTGAAGTGGATTTAAAAATATTTGTTAAATGTTACTATCACATAGCTGAAATAATTACACTTCAGGGCAATGTGCCTTTCTAATGCCTCATTCTGTGATTAT